CAAGCTGCTTAATTAGTGTGCAGGTAGAGAGAATATGTTCCAAGAATATTTAACAGCATGGGAGAGGGCATAAAGTTAGCAATAGGCAAAGGGGACAAAAGAAATGTTAAAAAAATATGTTCTCTTTGGAGGAATGTTCCAAAATGCAGTGCGTGGTGTAGAGACAAGGACTGCATGTTCTGTGAAGGCGCAGTATACTAGCACTAAAAATACAACACTGTTCAACTAGCCAAAGAGGTAAACAATTTTTTTGAAGTCCTGGGGATGTTTGTCAGGAATTCAGAAAATAAAATCTTTGCAAAACAGAAGTAACATATGAGCTCACTGTAAGGCAGCAAATGTTCCAGTGATTTTTATAGTTGAGTAGTACGGTATATTGGGCTAGTTTCTATGCAATGAGAGGTGACACTACAAAGTCTTGGAACAAGCATATTTGAAATATAGTGTAATTTGCCACATATTTAGCATTTTGTCTAGTCTGAAAAGTGACTATAGTATCTTATAGTCCCATGCTTAATGTTTTGTACTTGGCAAATAATTTACTCCTTTTTCAATGAATCTGTCATCTTTGTTGTCTCAGTCTGGGAAGATAAGAACCTTGTTTGGTCCTTTTGTTGACACTGAGCAGGTCAGAACATTTGTAAATAAGTTAATCTACCTGAAAAAGACAGTAGCCATGGAAGAATCCTGTTAATCAGCATAGATTGTGTAGGACCTGAGGGGAAAAAAAAATAGTTTTCTCTTAACTTCTAGAATTATTGGATAGATCTTATACTGCTAAAATCACAGTGTATGTAATAGAAAAAAAAGGAAAAGCAAGCAAAGTAACAGTTTTGGATGGAGAAGATGTAGAAGATCTAATTTTCATTGATAAGGGTCTCTCCATGAGAATGCTTGAAACTAAAGCAAGCTGCCAGTTTCTTTAATTAATACAAGCAAGATGATTCAAATCTTTCTCCCACTCTACTTTGTACTGTTGCAGCATCACCTCAAGCACTGTGAGCAGTTTTCATCACCACAATATAAAAAAGACATAAAACTATTCAAAGAGTGTCCAAAGGAGGGCCACAAAGATGGTGAAGGATTTAGAGAGCAAGATGTATGAGGAGCAGCTGATGCCCGTTGGTTTGTTCAGTCCAGAGTGGAGGAGAGGCCTCATGGTAGCCTTACAGCTCATCACAGGGCATGGAGGAGCAGCACTGATCTCTCTGATGACAGTGACAGGACTCAAGGGAACAGCATGGAGCTGTGTCAGGGGAGAGTCAGGTGGGGGTTATGAAAAAGTTCTGCACCAGAGGGTTGTTGGACACTGGAGCAGGCTCCGCAGGGCAGTGGTCATGGCAAAAAGCTGGAAGAGTATCGGGAGCATTTGGACAGCACACTCAGAAATAGGGTTTGGATTTTGGGTTGTTCTGTGTGTATTCAGTAGCTGGACTCAGTGCTCATATCTCAGGATATTCCATGATTTTGTGATGCTGCCTGTTTAGCTCTTACCTACCTTAAGAGTGAAATGAATACCTTCATGAGTAAATGGAGATGAATCTTTATGGGTTGTTATATCATAAAAAAACACTCCACTCTTTCCTTAGATTTTTCCTTTAATTTTTTTTTTTTTTCAGATTTTCTCTAGTTGGATTTAAATTGAAGCCTCTCTCATTAGCAGGCACTAATTTATATACACTTGATGAATGTTTCACAAATATGTGTTTCATCAATGTGGAAAGAATGTATTGATTAAACAATATTAAAAAAAAAGCAGAAAACATCTATTTCACAAGTGTTTTCATTTAACTGACTCCACTATGACATGAACTACCTTTCACAGAGAGAGAGCTCTCTTACTGTTCCATTTTGACTACTGTAGATAATTCTGCATTTATGTCCCAAAATGGACTCAAAGGTTCTGCTAGCCTGCCTGGAGATACTCAGATATTTGTTCTTTGGTGTTTGGCCCCAGATTGCGTGTACTGTTAAAGTAGAATGTTCTTTCTCTGTCAGAATCCTAAATATAATTCTTGTTTTCTAGTAAAGCGAGGTAGAAAATTGTTTCCACAAGGTTCTCAGAAATTCATATACTATGAGGGCATAGGATAGTTCTAATTTTCTTTTTTTCAGATATACCAAAATACTGCAAAAACTTGCAGTATTTGAAGAGTCTATTTGGAGTACTTTTATGGAGATCCGTAAGACAAGGCTGGGTAGGAGGAAGTAGAGGCAGAAAGTCTTTCTAGATCATGTGATGATAATCTTACATAATGACAAGAAAGAATAGCTAATTGTATTTATGATGTCTAACTTATTGGTTAGGAATTGTCATTGCTAGTTTGACAAACTAGTTCTACTTCTTAAATTTTGCTAGGAGCAGTCTTGATAAAGCATAGTCCTTCTGAGAACCGACAGCCTAGACATTTCTTACACAATATGGATTAAATTTTAAAAGGCACATTTGATGCTCAGTATGAGGCTGTATGTTAAACAGATTGGCTCTGTGAGTAAGATTCACAAAAATCACACAGATGACAAAATTCCCTGTGTTGGTACACGGGGAGAAGTGGGTTCGTAAAGCTGTGGTTCATGAGAGCTGCATGCTGAATGGGAAAATCAAAACCAGCTTCTTGAGGAAAGTGTGGGTGTGTGGCATGCAACCCTGCACCTGGAATTAAATATCTATATCTATGCTTGTGGCAGCTGTTGTTGAGAAACTGAAATTAAGGAACTAGGACAAAGTGGTTGACCTTTAATTTCTATTTATACCGTGCAGGATTGGCATATGGTTCAACCCTGATCTGGAGGTCATTTTCATCTTTTGTATAACAGCTTGAAGGTTAGAGAATATGAGAGACCTGGGCTTGGCTTAGCTACAGCAAAGCAGGAGTGCCACTTCTATGGAGTGCCCTAATCTAATACATTTTAGGCCATACTCAGCTGAACTTTTCGTTTCCCTTATTTTAAAGTTGGATCACTGTTTAGTTAATACAAGCAGTCGTAAGTTCATCAGAAGAGCAAGCAAGTGGAAAACCACCAATTCTATATCATGGTGATTAAGACGTAAGGCTTGAAGAAGAACAAAGATATCAACAAGTGATGTCTGTTCCTATGAACAGTCCTGAGGGAAGAAAATTTCTTTTGCAGAACACGTGTTTTTTTTTCTCTGCTTGTGAAAGTACAAGCTTAATTTTTCAGACTATGTAATTCAAAACCTGAGGCATGAACATTTTCAGATTTTTCACCCTTTAATGTATCTATGTAGTATATATATATTTATATTTTAATAATGACTTGTTACAGTGTAATACTGCAGTGTTTAGGCTAATATAGTCCAATGTAATATAACTGTGCCAAAACTGGAATGTAGAAGTGCCATTTCCTTATTCTTCAGAAAATGTGCAGTACATTATGACGTTCTTTGTATGGAAATAGCACGGACAAATCCATCCACAGGAGAAACATGCAAACCAACCTGTTTTGATGTGGGATTACTATAACAACATTTGTGCCTTAGCGTTTTTTGGGTCTATAGTATTTACACTTTGAATGTCTTCAGAATGCGTGCTTAATTACAAAGTGTTCCCCTTTTCACTTGTATCCTGAATTTCATGCATTATTCTCCAGTACGTAATTCTGCTTCTAAGTCATGCTGTTCTGACCTTTTCAGTATCTTTGAAAACGTCCTTATTCACCATAATTTTCTGATTAATTTGTACCAGTGGAAGAATAAGAAGAATATAAAGAACCTCATCTGCTCTGCTTTTGTGCAAGTGACCAAGGTGCACAATAGCCATGAGTCAGATGTTTATGCACATTCATTAGCAATGTTACCATTTTTTACATTAAAAAAATACACACACACAAAAAAAAAAGACCACACAAAAAAAGCATACAAACCCACACCTTTGACTGAATTCATAGCTCAGGAACAAGTGGTCCTGAATATCTGGTAGAGATTTATACATCATTTCTTCCACTCTTTTTTCTATCATTGGCCTTACATAACTCATGCTGAACTCCACAGTCCTTTTCCAGGTCAGATACAGAATTGATACTGTCACTTTAATTAATCCATAATAAGTTGGTTTTTTAACTAGATTTCATCTTTCTCATGAAACTTTATTAAATTCTGAATGCCTTTAAGTATGGCACAGAAAATCTGGAATAAATCTGTTAGAATTGGTTGTGTTAATCTGGATTTATATCAGTGTTACTGAAAACAAAATCCAAGTTTATGCTAAATGAAGTGAGAGTTTATATGATCTAGGAGTGTAAAATGCTGCACTTACACTGCTTGTATTTATATTCAGTTTATAGCATCCAGTAACATGCTCAGTATTTGTTCAAGAGCTTTCCAACACAGATTTGTGTAGGTAATTTTATTTCAGGTTATTTGGTATTTGACATAAAGCCTGTATTTTTGGTGTGAACTGGGAAGTCCTGAAATCCAAAAATAGCTATATTATACCTTCATAATTGAGAAAGTAAGCTGGAATTCCAGAGAAAGCTTAGCCTTTTGCATGATTTATTTGTAAATAAAGTAGCAAAACCCAAAGCATGAATTATTAGTAAATAAAATAGCTTTTTTTCCCCTTCTTCTTTGAGAAAAAAAAAATGTTTATTTTCATTTTAGTCTTGGTATTCCTCATTGAGCACTTAGGGCTGGTGAAGCTCTGTGGACTTATGTCTTTGGTGGTGTGAATGCACACCTTCTTTTATACTTTGAACTCGAACTGGAGTGTACTGGGCCATGATATGTTTGTCACAGATTAGTGACTATCTAGGAAAAGGGAAATCACCGTTTTTCTGTGGCCAGACCATAGTAGTTCACTGTTCTCCAGAGATGGTTCTCACCAAGTGAGAGGAAGGGTTGGGTTCTACTTAATAAACTCACAAATGACAGAAATTGAAATACAAATGATATCAGCATGATCCATCTGCCATTCATAATGTAAACTATACAGTTCCAATAACATACCTTTTTTTCCCCCTTTGTTTCGTCCATTCTCTAGAAAAAACAAGTGAGCCAAACAAAGATCCGGGTGATCTCTACCATCCTCTTCATCCTGGCTGGCTGCATTGTCTTTGTGACCATTCCCGCTGTTATCTTCAAACACATCGAGGGATGGACAGCCTTGGAGTCCATCTACTTTGTGGTTGTCACTCTGACTACTGTTGGTTTTGGTGACTTTGTAGCAGGTGAGCAGCACTGAGCCTAGATTGTACGCATGAGGGCCTTGGCTCTTAGAATTTATTTTTTGGTAAGGAGAGGAAGGTTTTTACAATTTTTATATCCGGAGAAATGAAGCCAGGTATTTCTGTTGGGGTTATTGTACAATAACATGGAGAACTCCAGACAGGTTTAAGAGTCAGATACATTGCCATCTGCAGAGTGCAAGCTTTCAGCAGTGTAGATAGCAGGAGTCTGGGAAGTCCTGATTACCCCTTATCATGCAATGAATTATGCACAAGTCAAATGACTTTCCTATTGAATTCAAAATTTGTATTAGTCCATTAGGTCTCAAGCTGAGGCTGCTTGCTGAAGCATATAGCCAAAATGATGAATGGACAAAGCTTTACAAAGTAGAGCTGAGCTATAAGGCTGGAAAATATCTGGTCTGACACAGTCGAGAGCTGCTAAATTCTTCTTTTCAGAATCTGCAGCATTTCAGAAGCTGGATTTTGTTCTCTAGCCTTGGCAGGAATTTTGACATTGCAGCTGCCCTGTTACATCAAGGAAGGTCTAATAGCATGTGCAGCTCAGTGCTAGGAAGTTATTCTCTCAGATGAATACAGTACTAACTAAAACTATAAATACCCATCCTTACCAAACAGAGAGTAAGGATTGTTGGTTACAGAGATGAGAGAATTTATTTTGCCGTATTGTTCTGCTAAGAAGAAGTGGTTAAAATAAATGAGCTTTCTTTCGCCACTATTGGATTACTAGTGATTATTGGATTATTAGTGATACTAATTATAGCATTAAGATGCACAGACATATAATGCTTCTATTTTGTTATTTCCTAAACATCAGTGAAATATGAATGAGCAAAAGATCAAAGGCAGAAACAAGAATATGTAAAGTTTTCTTTGCTAAACAGCAAATACAGTCTTTTTGTAGATAACACTCTGACCGTCTTTTATTTCTGACACAGTGGTATAGAAGACATGAACTACTGAGGAAAAATTGGCACTAAACAAAGCCCCAGATATGAAAAAAATCCAGATTTGAAAGTAACTGTGTGAACTCAGTCCTCTTTAACCACTTAAGTGTGAAGAGAACCTCACTGGTATTCTGGCTTTGTGGTATCAAAACACAGTGTAATTAACAATATTTTTCTTAGGCATGTACACACTGATAGTGTTTTTTTGAATAATATATTTGTAAAAAATCAACAGAGTACTAAATTTTAAATTGCTGTATATTCATTATAATCAAGACAATATAATCCACGGCTGGGTGGTTATTAACTAGAATTTTTCAAAAATGGAAACCCTGAATGAGAAAACTTCAAAGATGATCTCATGATAAGAGCTTAAGGCAGGTGATCACCAGGAAATCTGGGTTTCATTGCTGGTTTTGAGAAAGATTTTCTGTTACTTTTATTTTCTGTTACTTTCATCCCCGTATCTCTATCCCTTCAATATCAAAGAGAAAATGTTATACCGTATTGGGTAAAGCAGCATCAGTGAAACTACACTGATTTATTCCACTAAAATATGTCTCAATTCTTGGCAAACTGGGAAAGTTTTTGTTCTACTGTTGGAAATACAATTATAGCTGTAGTCTGAAAAAAAAAAAACCAAAACCAAACCAGAATATTTTATAGGCTGAAGAAAGTGGTCTCATATTTTCTCACTGGGCTCATTAGTCTGTAAGACAGACCCAGACAATCTGCTCCATAACAAGCTTCTGCTGGGACGTGTGTGATTAGAATAGCCCCATTGTACCATAGCAACAGCAGCCCCTATCTACTATTGTTTTACACTCTCAAAGACTAGAAAAAGAGAGTGATTCATATAGTGTATGAGGAGAGAACAGCATCAAAAACATATTTGGGTCCCTGCCAGTACTCAAATATCTGAGCTTTCTTGAGAATGTTCAGCTGCTTTACACACACTCATGCTCAGTCTGGATAAAATTAAAATGCTTATAGAACTGAAATCTGAAATGATTGCAAAATGCTCAGGTGGAAACTCTGAACTGTATTGTTGGAGTACTTTACTGAAGGAAAATCCTAAAAGCTTTTCAGTGCCATATGAAGATAAAAGTTGGTGTCTGGTTCCCTTCTAACCAAGACAATCTTCTCTAGGAAAAACTAATTGAGCAATGTAGTTGGCTTGGATGACCTCCAGAGGTCCCTTCCATCCTCAACTGTTCTGTGATATTTGTTGCTTCATTTGACCCATATCTCCTCTAGAGTTGCTGGCCAGAGAATTCATCCCTATAACTTACATCCAAGCAGACAGCACATGCTTATTATCAGAACTGATATAGATTTGATTTCCTGTCAGATATCCTGATTTGGTAGAGAAAGTTACTTTTCTGTCTCCTACACAGAAATCTCTGAATCTTTTATTTAAAGCCAAAGAATCTGGAAAATATCATTTGAGAAGGTTGAACTGTGAAGTCTCCAAACTACCAGGCTGCAGGTAGTTCAGAATAAGGAAGACAAGTTGTAATACATTTTTTCTTGAGAATGTATTTGTGCTGTTGCATGTATTATCAAAGCAGGAATTTGAGACTTGCTTCTGAATTGTCTCAGCAATATAAGGAAAGAGGTTTACTAGGTGCTCTGACAGATCACATGGCAGTAGAGCAGTATGTAACTTCCTAGTCTTAAATTAAAAACAGTCTGTTCCTCCCACCTGACAGATCTCTTATCTTTTATTAGAAGTACAGTGGTGTTGGCAAGAATTAAGAAATATTTTCAGAAATTTCTCAGAATTGCAGAAATTTTGTAGTCAATTTTGGCATCATATGTTTCCTAAAGAGAAGTTTATGCTTATTTCAGGAGGAAATGCTGACATCCATTATCGAGAGTGGTATAAACCTTTAGTGTGGTTCTGGATCCTTGTTGGCCTTGCCTATTTTGCTGCTGTTTTGAGTATGATTGGAGACTGGTTAAGGGTCCTGTCCAAGAAGACAAAAGAAGAGGTATGACTATTATCACAGTTATTTGTCATTTTATAAGAGAGCTCTAATTGCCTGATTCCTTTTTGTCTATGAAAGGATACTCCCCTGCTTGACTAGTGCTCAGTATAGCCTCCACTGGCAGCCTTTTGTGTTCTCTTAGCTCTGATCTTTATCTCCTTCACAAAGTGTGGAAAAAAGCAACTGAACAAAGCTAGATTGTTACACCTCTGTCAGTATTACTAAATACATAGAACACACCAGTAGGTCTGCATTTATGAAGAAGAGAGGCCAGCCTTCACTCTGAAGTGAGTTACAAAACTGTGATAAAAATTTCAAGTGTTCTCTCTAAAATTGGAGGTGTGTGGATTTAAAGACATTAGTTGGCTCTGTTAATTAAACAATAATTTGCTTTTAATTCATGCTCTATACTGACTTTTCCCACATTCTCTATGTCAAAGAATATAGTTCTGAATAAAGGTTTAGATTTAGGTCCTTTATTGAGTACTGCATTATTAAAAATTAAGACATTGAGTTGTCAACATCAGGGAAAATGTGGCTCATTTCACTCTGATCATGTCCTCCATGTTCCAAAAATAATATTGTTAATGCTCAGAATAAGAGCATTGAAAGGTAATTATCATACCTCCAAACCTGAAGCTGTTGACAGAGGGTTGATATGATTTCAATTTTTAATGCAATCTCTTCCTGTATTCCACAGCAAAGCTAACCTGGCAGAGTTAGCCAAAGAGCAACAATAACCAAAATTTGGCAGAGTTGAAGTTATTTATCATTTACGAAGGCAGTTGTGCCGCCTGAGACTCAGTGTATCCTCATGAATAAAAAAGGATTCACAAAGAGCTGTCAGACTGATGAGCAACAAGAGAGCTGCAGTGCTTGGCTGTGGCAACCAAAGGTGGGAGTCTGAGCTCTCAGGGTGGATATGAGATACCTGCTACCACAGTTAATTCAGTTCTAAGTAGAGACCATTTCATCTGGCTTGAGGAACCAAAGATAATACTCTGAGGACTACTGAATAGAGAAACTGAGTTCAGACCATGGCACCCTTTACCTTGGCAGCTGCAGACATCATACTTCTGAAATTATTCTTCTTTAGCTGAACTTTAGAAAAGGCCTGTATTGAAAGAGATATTTCTTAATCATTTATCCTTTTTTCCCTCCCTTTTCAGAAGAAGTACTTGTTTAATACATGTCAGTGCTTTACTCTTAGTCATTATTGTACTCTCAGGTGCAAAGCAGTGAAATGGAACAGCAGTGAGACATTTAAAGACATGCTGATGGTTCTCACACAGAACACTGATGTGTTTTGAAAATTTCTTCATGAATCAGCACGTTTATTGATGGCATGCGGTGGTAGTATTTGAACAGTTATGCAATGTACACCTCCATTAGAGTCAGCCAGAATTGTCCAATATAAATTACCCTGTATATGTCTGTATCAGAAGGATTTTGGAGTACTTGAAGTCGTCCAATAGATACTCTCAACGTTATTTGCTTTGTGGCAAGGAACAGAACGTTCAGTGGGACTGAACCATGAGCAGTATGGGAAAGTACATTTCTGTACTGCTATATTGGGTGCTATAATGTTCTGAGGCATATTACTGTAACTATATGTGAATAATTCTGCCTTCTCCTAACCATCTACTGCTGACATTATAAGTCAGGAATTTTGTTCTTAGCCAGGGAGGGATTAGCATGAAGAGCTCTCCCCAAGTAAAACAGCTATAAAATGTGCAGGATAGCAAAATATGAAACAGGCAGCCCAGTGATGTGCTGCATATGCCATTTACTAGTCACTGGTTGGTAATTTTAAAGCCTGTCTTAGTATAAACACTGTGCTGATGAAAACTGGGCCCAGATGTATGCTTTGGAGTTGAAACTTGTCTCCAATTCTATGCCAGATAAAAAACATTCTTGTGCTACTGTTCAATAGAAATGAATGTCACTCCATTTTATTTTTGTTTTGTTTTTATTCTTTCCTTTTCTTGTGGTGAAGGTTGGAGAAATAAAAGCCCATGCAGCTGAGTGGAAAGCAAATGTGACAGCTGAGTTCAGGGAGACACGGCGGCGGCTCAGCGTGGAGATCCATGACAAACTTCAGAGGGCAGCCACCATCCGGAGCATGGAGCGCCGACGCCTGGGCTTGGACCAGCGAGCCCATTCCTTAGATATGCTGTCTCCAGAGAAGCGCTCAGTCTTCACTGCCTTGGAAACAGGACGCTTCAAGGCCTCATCTCAGGAAAGCATCAACAACAGGCCTAACAACCTACGCCTTAAAGGGTCCGATCAACTCCACAAGCATGGGCAAGGGGCATCTGAGGACAACATCATTAACAAATTTGGATCATCTGCTAAGATGACCAAAAGGAAAAACAAAGACATCAAAAAGACCATCCCTGAGGATGTGCGTAAAATTTATGAGACCTTCCGAAACTACTCCTTGGATGAAGAAAAAAAGGAAGAAGAGACTGAGAAGATGTGTAATTCTGAGAACTCTTCTAGCACTACAGTCCTGACCAACTGCATCCAGCAGCACTCAGACCTGGAGAATGGAGTGATCCCCACTGAAACCAAAGAAAGGGAACATGAAAACAAAGCATTACTTGAAGACAGAAATTAAATGTAAAAGATGCTTGACTTGAATTAACAATGTTAGTGTTTTTATATACGTATATATATTGAGACACGTGCCTTATACAGACTCCTTATTCAGTCTGAATTATATAGCATCGAAGAATATTTCACTGTGCCATAAAGACTCAAGCTTGCTCTGCCAAAACAAATCAGGAAGACAGCACTGAAGAATGGCAACAGAAAGCTACGCACATGGAAATTTCAGCCTGTATAAGACTACCAGGGCAAGACACAGAGGAAGAGACGGAACTATGGCAATGCCACCAGAGTGCTATGACCACAGCATAATATTAGACAAAGGGTAGTTATATAAGAAGAGCCTTTGAAAGGGATGAAAAGGAACGTGTCTTTGTAATGGAGTATGTATTCATTAAGGCTTCCCCTGGTGGTTAAAAAGAGGAGGAATGATTGAAGCAAACTAGAAACTTTCAGTAAGGCTTAGTTTACGTTTTGGCACGTGATCCAAGCTAGATTTTTTTTCCATTTTTGAACCAGATGCATTATCTTTCTAAACTCCAAAAGAATGTCAATGGACGCAGCCACCAGCTGGATGCTGGTTTGAAAAATCAACACGGACACATTTAAGGGTCAGATTACTTTTTTCATTAAAAAAGGAAAACAAAACAAAACAAAACAAACAACTCTGTGGGTATTTATCTTAACCAGTGATGCAGTTATTGAAAAAAAAAAAAAAAAAAAAAGAAAGAAAGAAAAACAAAAAAGGAAAGAAAAGAAACAAATGGATCTTTTTCTCCTATAGGAAATACCCAGTGTAAACTCGCATATGAAGAAATTGCAACATCTAGAGCTATGTTGTTTAAAAGAAGAGAAATATTAATTTACTGATATTTGGATAGGTGTATAAAACAGTGGGCAAACTACTTTTTTAAAAAAGGAATTTCTCTTTCATACTTTCTACCACTGAAATAAACTTCAATTTTAATGCTGTAAGACTACAAAGACGGAAAGAAAGCTATAGCTTTTGCATGTCAGCAAACTGCTGTTCTCTGTAGCTGAATCTGAATTTTTAAAAATAGACATAAGAGCATATACATTATTCAAATGAGGGCCAGGGAAACCATAGAATCTCAGGGCTCTATGCCCCCTTTGCTAGGTTTGGGTTTAGAC